GTGCTCGTCGACTAATGTTAATATCGCGTGCACTCACGGCTTTCCTTTTGCTTTTTCAATCTCACATCCGATACTAGTAACGTCGTGCAACACGTCAAACGCGATTTTATTGCTTTTTTTTAACACCTCGCGCGTTGCGGTATTGCGCATTGTAGCGACGCGCTCAAACTTGCACTCGCCTGAACATTCATCTTCGATAGACATCAGAAACATTTCCAGGATCTATTTTTGAGCGACTCCGTAACAGGATATCAGCTTCCTCATTGAGCAGAAAAATTAACTAAAACGCAGAAACGATAGTAACCTCTCGATAGACGCGGTATCTGGATAATTTCATATTTCAAATTCTCAATATTTTCGCGGCATTCACCGCGGCGGGGCCAAAAACCCAAAAGAATTTCCCTCGTACGTGAAACATACAAACACGCGGACATTTACGAGAAAAATCGACTGGTATCTCCAAGCCACGCAGCGATCATTTGCACCGCCGCTGGAGAGCCAAAGGGACGCGACAAAGTACACACACACACGCGCACACACACACACACACACACACACATACACACACACAAAAGGTGAATACAAAGTAGCGCGTTGAAAAGTTTGGCCAAAGAGCCAAGAAGCAGCACTGGGGCTATTATTAACGTCTAATATCCGGAGAATCAGTCTCTTCTAAGGAGGTTACCGAAAGACAGGCTCTCCTCTATCGAGTACGCGGACGCGTCTCTGAAAAGTCATTGAAGCAGAGCAGGAAAAGGAGGAGCGGGGTGGAACGTTGCGCGACCTCTTTCTTCCGCTGATTATACACATCAGGAGCGACGGAGGAGACTTCGGACGGAAGGACTTCCCGGCCGTGCGAAATAGCAGTGCATGCGCGCGCGTTCCGTAGCGACGGAAGGGGGGAGGAGGCAGCGGCTGAACGACGCTACATTAAGCCGATATATCGCGAGACGGATAAATAGATAGACACGAGCGTGGTGGGAGACCGAACAGGACGGAGATACAAATGAATGGTATTCTAGAAGCGTCCAAATGGCGGTCGCGCGCGCGCAACGCTTGGCACAATAAGTGATTTATGGCGTTGTGCCTCTTAAGCGATCCCCTCCCCCCTCTGCTGCCGCCCGCCCCTGCTCCGTCGGCAGCGAGGATGGCCCGATATTGTCGCCGTTATGGCACAACAATAATTTGGCCAGGGATATTGTGTAACCGCCGATCACCCGTAGAACGTCCGCGAGGTGCGCGTGTGATAACAAATGACCGACTGAACAACGATCCTGGCGATCCTGATGACCTCGCGTCGACTGGCAAGCCTGCCGACAAACTTTTCCTCCTCGCTCCTCTCTACTCCTTCCATTTTCTAGGCAGCTTTCCAGTCGTTCCCGATTCGTTAATCGTTAATCGATTCGACGAGTCGCTGATAAGCTAATCGATGCGACGACTCGAATTTCGCACAATCGACACGACAATTAAAATTGCAACTTGATCGACGCGACGATTAAGTTGAATTTCAACGGCCGCTCGCGCCGTAACAATAGAAAGAGTCGCGCGGTGAAGACACTATCGAAGGTCAACGCGCGCGCGATATCGAGGGGCATATGCACACCTCCTACTGCTCCCCCCTCCGCCGTCCGTGCGCGCATAAGCGCATCCGTCGGAAACGAGAACGCGAGCGCGCGAGCGAGAGAACATGTATGTAGGTCCGTTCCTTTCAACCGCACTTTTCGCACTTTCTCGCAACTCTTGTCTCTTCCCCCCTCTTCCTATATATATATATATATATATATATATATAACCTTTCTTTTTTGACACTATCGTAACGAGCGTCCTGCTTCGCGTTCATTTTGCTTATACAGGGTGTTAAAAAAAAAAAAGACGAAAAGTACACCGTGCTCTTAAGAAGTTCCCAGAAGAAAAAGTCCAGGGCTCTCATCCTCGAAAATTTATCGAAAAATATTATATACGATATTTCATCAGTGGAGTAATTTAATTGGCTGAGAATTGTGATATCTAGTGACGTTCATGAAATATCGTATGCGACATTTTTCAAGAATACGGGCCCAGGAGATTTAAAATAAATCAGGAGAACGACGAGGCGCCATGAAAACAGCCCGTCCCATCTTTTACCGAAGGACCTGTTTAAATGTCATCAGACGAATCACATCAAAGGATATAAAATGCCTGTCAAACACGGTTAGACAAAAGCCGCGAACTTTTGAAAGAGTTCGCAATTCTATGGTACAAAGTTGTGTCTATGGTACAAGTAAGAGGACATGTGGAAAATTTTCCGTAAACTTTGTAAGCGTAGGTCACTTGTTTTCATTAAAATGAACAATCGCTCGTCACTCCGATAATATCAATTTTCCGACCCATGTTTGTTATCACTTTCTTCCTCCGTTTTGTGGCTGCCATCTGCCCTCAAAATGTTGAACCCTTTTTCTTAAACACTCTGTACAGATTCCTTCGGCCCGGTAAACCGAACAGACACGTAACAGCCATTGTAATACGATAACGACCGCGTAATATACGGCCACTTGAGTTATCGTAGCAATTAAACATTAATTATAAATCATGAAACAAAAGAGTTAGCCTCAATATGAATCGGAACGCGCGAATGATTCATTGTACGCGAGCGAGACTTGTCATTCATGAAAACTGCGCGCTCCCTCCCTCCCTCTCTCTCTCTCTCTCTCTCTCTCTCTCTCTCTCTCTCTCTCTCTCTCTCTCTCTCTCTCTCTCTCTCTCTCTCTCTCTCCGCGCATACAAATGCCAAACTGCGGGAGGCGCAAGACTTCGCAGGAGATTGCTCGCAATTTTTGTCGACCGACGCAGTGACGTTCCGGCGACCCGCTCGACGCGAAAGCTGCAACGTGGCCACGCGCGCTCGAGGGGAACGGACGGCGAGAGTCTCGCGCGACAAATTCGCGAGACGACAATTTCGCAAACGCTTCGCCTCTCCGCGGTTCGCAACGAGAGACGATCGTGAACATTCGACGGTCGGTCGCGATCGCGCGCTGCCGCACGCGGAGCGGGGCCATACGAAAGAGGGGAAAGTCGGTGGTAAGCGCGCGCGGTGGCGGGGGAGGGGAGGGGGAGGGGGGGACGAGAGGCAATAATCGGGCCAGTTGGAGAGCGCGAGAGCGAAAAGAAAGGTGCGTAGTGGCGCTCTCGCGCGCTCTCTCTCTCTCTCTCTCTCTCTCTCTCTCTCTCTCTCTCTCTCTCTCTCTCTCTCTCTCTCTCCCCCCCTCTCTCTCGGTGTGAGTCTCACGTGTGTCTATTTCTACGCACAATTGCTCGTCGGAGAGCAAGATTGAAAAGCGATGAAAGCGCAATTAAATTATCGCGGATCGTAAACATTTCAACGGCTAGTCAGGTGTTTCGACTTGCAGCAGCGGCAGGACGACGGGCCGGCGGCGCGGCGCGAGCCAAACCGCGAATGTCGTATTTTTAACACCGTGCGATCCGCACGCAGCCGTACCCTCATTTGTTTCGATATGTCGAAAGCATAATACCTACTTAGCCGCGCGTCTCTCGTTATTCTCCTCATTCTACAAATGCCTTCGCTCATTCGCGTTAAAAGATGCACGCGATCGCAAAGCTGTACAAAGTGACGTTTGAAGAAAACGTTATCAGTTTGAAACGACGGTTAGGCGTAATTGTGTGACAAGTGAAAATTATCACGAGTAATTTTTATAATTATCGGAATATATATATATATATATATATATACTTGAGACAGCGATTACAATTGCAATCGAGACCAATCTCATACACCGAACAATCGTAACAAATAGTTGAGAAAAGACAACTAGTTATCGCAAGTAGCAATTGCGACGAGCAACGATCATTAGTTGATCGTTCCGCTCGACTCGATAACGTCTAATCTGCAATTTACACGCAACTCTTGACCTTCCTGCTTAACTATGCGCATATCGCTGATTATTCATCATTCTGTCATCATTCGCAGCGTAAATGACAGGCGCTGTGTGTGTCTAGGCCACAACAGCGGCTGCTCTCGTCGGCCAGCCGGAAACGTCCGAACCGACGAGAGGTGTCAATGCCGGCCGGCGTGCTCTCGCGCTCTCCGAGCAACAAATTTCCACAAGTATTTACCTATCGTTTGCGCGTACAACCCATTGTCGTGATACTTAACGAGCATATTATCCCGGTTTATACGGTAAACAGCGGCCGGCTCCGGCCAGCGGCTTTGTCTCGTGTCGGAGGACCGGCGAGAAGAGCAAGGTCGGTGCTGGTGAATCGCGCGGACCACGAGGCGGCGACGGCGACGGCTGCCTGCTCCAGACGCACCGAGCTCGCACGCCGGACATCATTGACGACGCGCTGTGCTCTACGTGTCTTCGCCTCCCGCCATGCCGCGCACACAAAGGCGTACACACGAGACACAAACCGCCCGCAGATCGGTTGGTTATCTCTTTCTCTCTCGGCCGCACGCTTCCTGCGCTTTCTTTCGACCTTTCTCCCTCCCTCTCGCCCGCCATTCCCCCTCCCCCCTCCTCCTCCCACGATCGCCTCTGCCCAGCGTAGAGAGGCACGATTCGCAAACAATATAACATAACACACACACACACACACACGCGTGCGCGCGCGCGCACAATCTTTCGTCCCAAGGACGAGAAATATAACATGAACGGCAGGAGTTAAAAGGAACGGACCTTGTGCGTGTCACGCGTGGAGCAGTGGGACGCTGACGCCGACGTCGACGCTACCGCCGCGCGTCGAGCGAAGCGACGCACGCACGCACGCACGCACGGACGCGCGACGGACGAGCGAAAGATGATCGCGCGACGCATGTACACGCGTGTGTATGCACGATTCATACGTATGTATACGAACGGTACGTGCACGAATACGCGCACGTAAGGCGCGCCAACTGTCGCTGGCTGGCTGGCTGGCTGGCTAGCTGATCGCTTGCTTGCGCGAGCACGCAGGCAGGCGATTAAGCGGGCAGGACAGGAGAAACGGAGAAAACTCACTGCACTAACCTGTCGGAGGCGACTCACTCTCCCCTTGTTGTATTCCTCGGCTCCGACGCGTCGTCGTATTTTCCCAAGTCCACGGCTAGTTGAAGTATTTGCACTGGGTCGGCGGCCACACTGCGATCACCAAACTATTCACATTCGTTCTCTCTCTCTCTCTCTCTCTCTCTCTCTCTCTCTCTCTCTCTCTCTCTCTCTCTCTCTCTCTCTCTCGCGCGCGGTCTTATTTCTCACTCACTCACTCTTTCTCACACTCACTCACTTACTCGCTCTTTCTTCCTCTCTCTCTCTTTCTTTCGCGCGCTAGCACGCTCTCTCCTTCTATCCTCCTCTCTCGCTCGCTCTCTCTCACTCGCTCTCATGCACACATACACACTCTCTTTCCTTCTCACGTTCTCTCTCTCTCTCTCTCTCTCTCTCTCCCTCTCGCTTGCTCGCTCGCTCACTCTCTCCCTCTCACACACACACACACACACACACACACACTCTAGCACCCTTTTTCTCTGTCCGCTTACACGGCGTTGCTCCGATGCGTCTTATTCGCGGAATATCCAGGCTTGCCCAGCGACGCTGCCGCACGACGATCCCACTCGGCTGCCGCGGCGAAACTTGGCGTCTAACCGGGTCCTGTGCCGCGGCACGATGCGATGTATCCGCACGGATACGGGCACTGGTGTTAACCGCGCGCGCGCCCGCCCGCCCGACGCCCCGACGGCCGCAGTATACGCGTAAGATCGCGCACGATTCGGCCACGGAAGAAAGGAGGTCGTTCGCACGCTCGTCTCGGTCACACTCGGTCTCAAATTGCGGTTATATGGCGCGGACTGCACTACTTGGCTCGCGGCTGCTCTCCCTCGCTGGAGCAAAATGGCGGCCCCCGGCCGCCCGAGTGACTCGCGCGCGCCGCCCGATGCTAGCCGTCACCGGCCGAGCGTGACCGACGCCGGCCGAGCGCGGCCGAAGCCGCGAGGTGAGCGCGACCCGATTGGCCGCAGCGCACCGCCAATCATACGGCCGGACGCTCTTTTCCCGCGTGCCTTTGAAAATCCGTCCGAAGGCTGCTCCAACCTTTCCCTTTCTCAGCATTCTCGTGTCGATCTGCCGCGGCTTCGTGAGCCATCTGGGCTCGTTCGCCTGCACTAGGGGATATCCCTGTCTCTCACAGTCTAAAGTCACGCGTAAACAAACTGATAATACACATCGTCTTCGTGACGCACAAGTGGACCAACGGTGAAACGTTTCGTCGGGTTGACGCTAGTCGTGCGTGTCCGGTGTTCGTAGTTCTATCAATCGCTCATCGAGTCAATCTTTCGTTTTCCGTGTTATCTTCATAGATTCCTCTCCGCTCGTTTTCGTCCCCCGCGTCGTGTCGTGAAAGATGAAACGTTGCGACGTAATAATCTGCTCGCAGCTGAATTAGCTCACTTGCTCGCACGCTTTTGTCGCTCGTCTCTCTACTTGCTCACGCTGTCTTCGTCGCCCGTTTTTTCCGGGGTAGCCAACATGTCAGACGTCAAAAGTCTCGAGCACCCCACGTTGAAGGTGAATATTTATTTTTCAAGCGCCTTGTGATTTCATCGTTGCCTCCTCCGTCGTGCGTAGTTCATCAAGAAGCCACGGAGGAACGTAATTGGACATTTTGTCGTATTGCTTATTAATCCCACATTCTGTATGCTCGTCAATGTAAACGTAACTCTGTGTTCTAAAAGTAAATTCTTTAAAATAGCGACCAAGAAGTATTAACGCGTTGTATAAATACCATAAATATCACGCGTAAATACATTCACAAATATGCGCTATTGAATGCAATAATATATATTTACGCTACCTTTGAAGCTCAGATATACAATAATGTGCAATTTTCAAATGAGCAGGTACCATATGAATTGCTGAACAAAAAGTTCCGCTCCGCCCAGAAGACCCTTGACAGAGAAGTCTCCCATATCCAAACAGTGTCAAACGAGCTCGAAAAAGGATTAAAGAATGATGGGTCTGGATCGTACGTCGCTACTGGCGATATAACGAGACTGCTGGGTGGAGTGGTGGCAAAACTTCAGGTCCTGAAACGTAAAGCTCAAGAGTCAATCGCTGAAGAGTTGCAGGCAGGCATGGTATGTAAGAGGAGACTGGACCATCTGAAAGAACATGCCAATACCTCACCCAGTACTGTGAATCGATGGCGGAGACAGAGGCTTGATAGGATGTTGGTGGAATATTTTCTCCGTAAGGGATACTACAAAACAGCAACCAAGCTGGCGGATAGCAGTGAGATCAGAGACTTAACGAACATAGGTACAAGTGTACAACTTTTTCTTCTTTAAAAACAGTAGTTTGCTTAAGCTAGCCAATCGAAATGAAGAAGAAAATCCAATAAAATATTAATGCAAGAAAAGCAAGACTATCTCTCAGAGTAAGATTGCCATATATCACAGTTTATAAATTAGTTTTAATCTGATATTCAGGACTTATATTTTATCAGTAAGAATGTTAATAAATATGTATATTTAATTACCTATATTTGCAACTTCAGTCTTTAAAGGATTAAGTTTTATACACGAGATATCCTCTATACAAATTTAACACTCTTTTAATGTTACTCCAAAAAGTTTCTATAAAGATCTTTATTTATATGTAACATTTATATGTAATGATTCATGAGCATGTGATCAAGTTTCGTTTTAACTTGTTCTTCCAATGGGACCAATGTGATATTTGCAGATGTATTTATGGTATCACGGGAAGTGGAGAAGTCTCTGGCGAATCATGAAACTGCGAGATGTATTGGATGGTGTCACGACAATCGCTCGAAACTGCGAAAGTTGGGCAGTACGATGGAATTTAATCTGCGCGTGCAGGAATTCATTGAGCTGGTGAGGAGTGACCGAAGGCTCGATGCTGTCAAGCATGCACGCAAATGCTTCGCCAGTTGCGACGATTATCAGCTACAGGAAATTCAATGTTGCATGGGTCAATTGGCCTTCCCAGCCAACACGTGTCTCAGTCCTTACAAAGACTTGTTGGACGAGAAAAGGTGCGACATCCATGAAGTTATCTGAAGCACCAGGATTGGAAGATAACCTTATGTGAATGAAGTTGTAACATTACAAGTAACTTGCAAGTACTACTGTTAAGTACTTTTAAGTTGCCTTTTTTTTTTTTTTTTTTAGGAAAAATAAGTTACTTTTTCTTGGTAACAACTTGGTGACAGTGTTATTTTTGTTTTCGTTAGGAATTGTCAATGGTAATTCAATTACATTTCTTGTGTGGATGATGGTGATAAACACAATTGTTACTTTTATCGTTACTTTACGCATGTAGAATAAACGTATGGACAGTCGTGTATCATAAGAAAATATCTTCAAATCTTGGTGGAAAAGATAATGGAAACTGTAACAACTTGTTACTTTCTAAATAACGATACCGGTAACGAGTTACTTTTTTTTTAATCTGTAACGGCGATGAGTTACTTTTAAAAAGTGATTTCCCAATCCGGTAAAATACCTAGGAAACGTCTTTAACGTAAAAGTTGTTCCTCGTGCATGATAATCTATCTCTTCCTTTCTTTCACAGGTGGGACAAATTGATTGAACAATTCAGACACGAGAATTACAGGCTCTTTCAATTAGCTAGCCAGAGCGTTTTCACAGTAGCTCTTCAGGCTGGTTTGTCAGCGCTCAAGACGCCGCAGTGTTACAGCAATAACAAGGAGGGCAGAAATCCGAGTTGTCCGGTTTGCAACGAGGCACTGAACGAATTGGCCATGCCATTGCCTTTCGCACATTGTTCTCAGTCACGGCTGGTCTGCAGTATAAGCGGGAAACCGTTGAACGAATATAACCAACCGATGATGATGCCGAACGGATATGTGTATGGAGAACAAGTAAGCGAAATTAATCATATACTGTCTTAAATATGGCACAGAGAGTATCACACAGAGATTCAAACAGTCAAACCATATTCTGTGGATGGAAATAAGGAAAAAAAGTTGTATAAACGTATGTGCCTCGTAAGAACTTCATTCAAAAGTTGTTACAAAAATATAAAATGTTTGAAGTGGAAACTGTAATGGACTCATTTTTATTGTTCACACGGTATGGTGCGATTTCCATAATATTTCAGTGTAAAATGTAGGCCATTTTCGCATCGACGCAAGATTCAATTGAAACTTTGATTTCTATATGAATCTTGGGTCGATTTTACTTCACACTTCAACGGGTGAAATATCAATTTTTTAAGTGACGTGTATTAAGTCTCATTTTGTAAACTTTGTTTTCTACATTCTCCGTAGATAAAGATCTAATATTGTTAAATTTGATAATTTTAGGAGCCATAGAATTGGTCCTTCTCTACGATTTTATGCTTTTGTTGTAAGTTTTTATAGGCCTATGTTTATATAACATTTTTTTTTATAGCATATATTGATACAGCTAGGTTATTAAAGCCTGAAACATCTTATACACTACACATACATAGTATGATGGATTTCTCGTTGCAGGCTCTAGAAAAAATGGCTCAAGAAAACAACGGTACTGTGATTTGCCCGAAAACCAAAGAAGCATTTCCTTACAAGAAAATCGAGAAAGTTTACGTTATGTAAACCAGACATTTGACACAGCATATATGTCGCATTATATGCAATGCTTACTGAGGCGCTCTTCTTGCTCTAATATCTTATTTAATTAATATAATTGTATATCGACCGATCAATGGAACACGAGAATAATATCTATTTTTAAGGAAAATCAAGATCGAATCGATTTATTCACGCTCACCCTGTATAGTAGAAATATGAATAGTCATGGAGAGAGCGAGAGAGAGAGAGAGAGAGAGAGAGAGAGAGAGAGAGAGAGAGAGAGAGAGAGAGAGAGAGAGAGAGAGGAAGAGGAAGACATCGAGATCCTTAGTAACTCAAATCTTTAAATTAATATTATAACTTAGAAAATGATTTTTTATATATTAATTATGTATGATCACTATATTAAAATATAATATGGAGCGTTTCACAGTCGCTGAGAAACATTTGAACGTATGCCGGAGGTTCAATCGAAGTCGAAGATCTTAATAATTCCTATGTCAATTATTATCTGATTAATTCTTATTACGATGAAAAGTCTGATATTGAGAATGTCAGTGATTGTTCAATTGATATTAATATTTTCGACCGCAGAGGCAAACTCCAGAATATGTTATTGGGATGTTATTTCACGACGACTTCGAGATGAATCCTTTATGTGCGTGTAGGCTGCTACTCGGCAGTGCTAGATTAATAAGGGCTAACGCGACCAGTTAGTTCTTACTCATTTATTTAACATTCTTTCTACAATAAATTGAACGGTTCAAACAGTTTTGTTTGTAAATTTACTTATCTATCCTAAGACGCAATCAATGAATCTTTTGCTTCGCGCAAGGTCTTCGGTCCTTCTTACGCTCGTACACGAGATGTGCGTCGGAACTCCCAACTCGAAAGATAAATCGGAAAGAAGAAGAGGACCAGCGGCCCTTTAATATGAATTTTTGATGAATGTTTTTTTGATATTCATACAAGCACGTCGACTTCTTTTTTCCGACCGGAGTCCCCGGCATGACTAAGCGGCCAAGGCTCGCGTCGTCAAATTGTTAACTCTGGACATTGGCTTTTCTCTCTCGAAAAGCAACATGTATCCTTTCACCGATCTTTCGATTCTCTTCATCCTGAATTTTCCTCCCGTCTCCCAACGACGTTTCAACGTTCGACTACGAACTCGACCGAGAGAAAGGACCGACGCGCTTTCCAAAACTCCCCGCATCTGCGTTTATAATTATGCACACGCGTGCATTTCGACATGGAGAAATGACGGAGTCGACGATAACGAACGAATCTACCGGACCGTCGTGAACTTGATTCTTCGGGGGAAACACCTCCTGCCATTTCCACGCGAAAACGAACGCGCATCACATACGTCTTACATACACAGCGTGTTTATAATATTAATCATGAACTTCTCTTTAATTATTATTGTTATTACTATTAGTAGACTTAAGATCTAGAACGATATACGATATGTGTGGGAAACAATCGTGTCGAATGGAAAAGTTTACTCGTATGACCGAATCCATATAAAAATATTCCATCTACTCTATCTCGGTTTCTTCATCTTCTTCGTCTTCTTCTTTTTAATATCTTTAAATTCAAACGAGTGAGTCTTCCGATTATTGGATTTACTATCGAATTCCTTCGACTTTATTGTCTGCATTGCTTCGTACGGAGGATTGTCCATATAGGAATTCAGAATGCGCTTTTTAGAATCATCATTGTCATTTTCCGTCAGTCTGATAAGATGATGATCGAGATAAGACGTTCCCTTCTTTCTTCTCCGTTTCTCTTCTCATTAGTAGGGTTCTTACCGAGGGAGAAACACGTTTGTATTCGCGACGCGATAATTCCACATCTTAACTCGTCCGTCGGGCGCGACTCATCTCTCCGCGTTTTCTCGAATCGAAGAACTCAACATTTCCACGCCACCTTAAATCCACTCACACGAGATCGATGCGGATAATAACTTGCGATATTACAAAATTCTAAACAAATTCTGATTATCAATTACAAGTTGTATCAAGTATTCGTCAGTGCAATCCACCACTTCCACCCGGAATCATCGCATCGCGAGCGAAACGTTCTTTTCTAACGCGATCTTTTCCTTTTTTCCTTCTCAAGTGTGTCGATCAGTAGCGACTAAATCGACCAGAGATAATGGATTATCGATACGCCTTAAAAGTTGATAGAGATAATGGAGATGATCAGAGTCGATTAGTTGCCGAGTTGGCGTGGCTTACCTATTTTAGGATTAATTTAAAAACTGCAGGTGTGTAAATGTGTGTATGTGTATGTAAACGAGCGAGATCGAGTACGAGTGCAATGTGCGCTCCTGCTGGAACATGTCACCTTGTGTATATATATACATATATATATATATATATATATATATATATATATATATAGGTTGTCCCTAAAATATTCGCTCAAACCTCCACCGGCGAGCTTCAGTTCGCGCCTTCTCTCGGTGACGTTCAGAGAGAAAAGCAAAAAAGAAAGAAGAACACTGCAAAATTTGATCGAACCTACTTTAGGAACATCCTGGAAGCGTTACAACTGAGCACAGGATGATCAGGATGAAAAGTCTTCGTACAAAAATATAAAAATCGAAAGCTGTCGCCCGTCTCGCGCTGCGTGTCATCTTAACGCTTAAAACGTAATACGGTGTGTGCTTAGCGTAAAAGTCGAATATCATTAACGTTATTATAAAACAGCTGAGAGGAAGTCCCGATGAGATGACGACGAGTAAACGCGAGATCGTTTGGATTCGTAACGGTGGTCCTGCGAGAAGTATCAATCCCCGCTCGCATATGCGCGATAAATAACGTATTATATAACGCCGGTATTGCGATACAATAACGTCAGTATCGTGACACGAACTCTTTAAATATCTCGGAACGACGTCTCAGTTGAAGACGAGTAAGCATTTGTTTGAACCAATTGAAGTTTACAAAGTGATCTTTTGAAAATATCGCTACTTTGAATCGCAGGAATATTTCGCTTCCTACGAGTGGACTTATTCCTGTGACGATGAAATATGTCAGATTCTTCAATTTTGAGAGAAAATCTTTATCCGCTCGTTTAAAATGGACAATTCGTCCTACAAATGTGAAAAATCAGTCGAGTTTCGGTGACATGGTTGTGATCCTACTTCCCGAGTGAAATTTTATTCGAAGAAATTTTCAGAGTATTTTCTACATTTCTTGCAGTGAAATCTCACCGAAAACAGGTAAAAATTCAGTCAAAGTCACATTGAAAGTACCTCTACTCAGAATCGCAAGGGTGAACATTTAACTCAATCTAGAATGAATTTTCTTAAATCATACGACTTTCGAACGTTTCGACCAATTAGAGCGAATCTGTTCCTGTTTCCGATGGCTAAATGCATCGGATTTATGCCTCAATTCACTCAAGAGAAAATCTTCATTCGACGGTTTAGATGTGCTCCAGACGAATGAAAAATCAGTCGGTGATTTTTCGAGTACGGTGTCTCCGCTCGTCGAGTGAAGTCATTCTGAGAAATTTAGAGAATATTTTACAATTTCTTGTCTTATACATGCGTTATATACGCAATACTTTTCTATTTTTACGCGCAGCTTAATTCTAACGTTTAAAACTAGAGTTGATGATGAAGCAAGACGTGCGTGCGACGATGAAGCGACGAAAGAATCGTAAAAATTATCCGCGCGTGAAGAACGCGTCATTCGCGGAAGAATTACCATTGTACATTGTGCATGGATCTCGTCGTCAGCGCGATCGCTCACGAGATGAAGGACGTTTTCTGATCTGTTTCACGGCTTAAAATAACAAACGTTACCGTATACGCTTCATCGATTCCATACACGGTTACACTCCGTATGAAAAATGTCGGGACTCCGGAATATCTCGAAAAATATAAGTTCTGTGAAAAAATGTTTCAGATAAAAGTTGTGACCTGAAAAAGATCTAATTATCGACCTTATTTAGTTTGACCTTGGCGTCACCGAGATCACACACTTTAAACTTTTAAGTAGAATCTCCTATTTCTTATTACATATTCTTATAAACCTTGGGATTTAAAAAAAAAAAAGAAAAAAAACTATCATTTTATTCACCTTGGATCAACCGGTTTAAAATTATAAAAATTAAAGAATATAAAGAAATAAAGGGTTCCATTTCAACTAAATAGGTCTAATCCGGAGTCTCGACCTTTTTTTTTTTATATACCCTGTATGGCGGAAATAAAATAATCTTACGTTCGTTTAAAACATAATCATAGCCGATGAGATGAAACCAACTTCCAATTTCGAAACTTATACCGTTCGTAATTTTGCAAAAGTGAAGCGAAACGCTCATTGTTTTAATATGATTAATAAAATAGCGAACGAGGACTAGTATCGATCGAATGGCTAGTCTCGACTCTTCCGTTTCGATTCTCGAGACGCAATTAAGTGTTATGAAATTAGAAAAAACGATGTCCTCCTCCGCCTTCCCCCCGTAGAGACATGAAAATCTCGTATAAAAATTGCCTCGTATAAAATTTATATCAATGATAATTACGAAATATTTTCACGCGAGAATCTTGTGAAATTGGAAATTCGTGAATGAATCTGTGCGACGAAAAGTAATAATTCGCTCATCGATTCGTGTCTACTGAAAGTATCTAGCAAGAGAGAGAACTTATTGCTTTCCGCTCTTAATCAACGACCGTTACAAGAGACCTACTTAAACTTAACTTAAGTCTATCGAGACGCGAAAGAAACATGTACTCATCTCGCGTTTGTTAACCGGCGAAAAAAATTCGAGACATTGCCAAGTAAATTGTAGAACAAACACAACCTCGTTGATCAATGAGCATAATCGTGTAACACTGTAAAGAAAAAGAAAAAGAAAGAAAACAAAAAAACAAAAACGTGCAATACAAAAGAGACTGTTGACGGATAAGCCCAAGAGAATTGTAGTCTAATTTTTTGATGCCTTGTCGATGTCGATGCAATCAGCTCGCAGAAGAAAAGTCAATAGACATCGCACGACATCGCGATAAGACGGTGGTGATTCAAATGAAGCATCAAGCAAACAAAACCGTTACATTAGCGACCGAGCGATCGCCGCTCGACCTTAATAAAACTGTTATCTTCCTATCTATATTAACAGTGTATATATATATATGTACACATAAGGCGCCTGGCACAAATCGCGATCTCAGTTTCAACGACTCATTCTCGCACTACCAACAGAGGAGAGTCGCGAATTGCGCGAGACACCCCGTGGTGTCCGTGTCGTTCTGCCGGCCAGACCAATTCAGGAACGGTCTGTCTCTCCCCGAGAAAAAATGAATTATATATAATCATACGTAATTATTGTATACGTCCACATGAACAAAAGATCCTGTTGCAGAAGCATATAATTAAAGCAACTACTTATATTCGTGGCAGCGCACAAAAAGTAGACGCTGAAATGAATGAAACCGTTTTGCTCTTCTCTTCGCTTCACAGCGCTTTCCGTTCGTGTGGGCAAATATGATCACATATGATTAAATATGTAGCTATATATAGACGAAATCCATATATATGGGTCATATATAATTATATATAATTTGTATATTTATATACAATTTATGTATATTATAATTTGTATATAATATTACATGTAATTTTATACGATTATATATAATTTTTTTGCTCGGGAGAATTCAGTGAGTGACAACTTTAGCGTAGACTCTATCTAAAATTGTAATGCTTAACGATTAGTATGAGGCATATTCTCGCGTGTCGCGCGCTCAACGCTAAACATATAGCCGGCACGCGAACGCGATGATTTTCGACGCTCGTCGGTGGACGATGGAAAATTCGCGGCCAGTCTTTAGCGCGCTGAGCGCAGGATGAATATATTATTATACATTATATATACATGTGTATATATGTATATATATATATATAATGAATATATATATATATATATACACATATATATATGTGTGTATATATATATATACACATATATATATACACATATATATGTTGCGTGTACAGGAGATCTCTAAATACAACTTGATCTCTTATCAACGACGAAATCTGCAGAGCGGTTTCTATTCGAACGATGCGATACGAGAGAACATGAATATGATTCTTTTTCTTCTCATTATTAAGGCTTATTGGTCCGGTTTTATTTTATATAATCGGGTGGGGGCAATAATAATATAGTAAAATTGTCAAGCTGAGGTGCAAAAGGTCTGCCTTTCGTTCTCTTATCTATAGATACAGGATTAGGAGATTCCACAAGCAGAGAGAAAAAGAGGGACAAAATTTCCCTCGCCAGGTGAAGAAGTCAATGACAAAAGTAACTTGATGAGTAAAAGATTACTGTGAAACAACATAGAACCTTGTTCACAATTTTACTCGACGAATCTTTTGCACCACCACATCTGTACGTTTCACTCGTACTTTCTGACACTCTCTGCGCTTGGAACCAGTTAAATATATATTCGAGTGTCGGGTAGTTGAAAGAGCAGCAGAGAAACCGAGTGCAGCAGAAGATACGACAAAACGGAACAAACCCATCAATAGCTGCTTCTAATCCCCCTGAAATTATGAGCTCCAGTACCTTCTACTCAGATCTGCCGTGACGAAAGTCGACTACGCGCGATCAATCTCTGTACGCATAGTGGATCGTCTTCCTGATCGTTAATGCACTTTGCATGGTCTTAACATTTATAATCTACGTACGCTTGCATTAAACTATTTGTATAACGTACAGAGTCGCCTGAAAAGATAATCGAAGAACCCAGCGCGGCGTGTAGCGCTCGCGGAAATAGAGAAGAGACGTCTAATCAAAGTAGCTCGAAAAACTGACTTTTTAGGAAGATCGTGTATGACTCTGAATTCCTCGACTGTTCTTCCAGGCTGCTCTGTACAACGTCTTTTGTCAACGGGTCGTTGAAAGCGAGGATTGAAAGTATAATTTCGGCGAATTCATATCTTCGTTCAGTATCGGTAGCGAAACAAACCTACGCGAAGGAAGAAGTGTCGCGTTTCGCTTCTTCGCAAATAAATCGCGCATTCACGATATTCACGAGCTTGTATTCGACAGAAGTTATACCTGTATCAACCCTCGATCGAAAATCATGTCGATAATAAGAAGTCCAAGTCACATACTTATAAAAAACATACGCATTGCTCTCAGCGGCTTCTGCTTGACCGAGCAGTCGCGTTTAGTCATAACTTATGTATAAGAATTGTACGATTAAATATATATATATTATGTATATATGTATGTATGCGTGTATAAGCAAACAAATCTCCCAACACTTTGCGATTACTGTTTATTCGGGCTGACGCAACGTTGTGTCTTCCATTCTCTCTTCTTGTTCTGAGGAACACCGGAAGTGACGTTTGCCGTTTCTTATCTTCTCCAGCTGACCATGTCCTTACACTCCAATTTGTAACCGCGGAATATAGACTGTTTATATATATGTATATATTCTTTCAATTCTCAACACACACATTCCGTCTCTTCTCTAACTCCTGAGTACTAAATACAAGAGGCGTGCTCTCCATACCGAGAGCGATCAAAACGTCACGCTAGCAACGAAGCTTGGCATGACCATCGAGAATAAGATCCCCGTGAAAATACCCGTGATCAGAGACGCCGCGCCGAACATGCCCGCCGTCGATGCATGCTGCGAGTCCACCATTCTGAAAATTACACATCTATTATTATATTTCGCACATAAATATCACATAGACTTGTACGCAATTCTCTGTAAGCGCTATATACAGTGTGTCCCAGAATAATTTTTACAGTTATGACTCGTGGAGACATGGAGCGAGTTAAGACAAACATAAAAGTCCCATATTGTTTTGCAATATCCGCAATAATTTCCGAGTTATTAATGACAGAAATCTGAGGAACGGACGCGCACCGAGATGAATGATTGAAGAAGCGTCGTGGCCTCTCGGGCTGCAGCGCGGCCTAGTCGATCTAACAATTGTTGCCGGTGCGCGGCGAAGGAAAGAACAATGCACCGCGCTATTCATGTTTTATCTTGCCGTTTCTACGTCTCGCCGCACGCCGATAACAAAATGCTGGATCAACTGGGCTGCGCTGAAATCCAAGTGGCTGTACTGCTCCTACAATCATTCACTTCGATGCACGCTCATTCGCCAGATTTTTATAATTAATAACTCGATAATTATTGCGGATATCGCAAAACGGTGCGGGATTTTTTGTTCGCCTTAATCCGTTCTGTGCCCCTACGAGCTGTCAAAATGGTTCTGGGACACCCTGTATATGATAATATGGTATATGTATATATATATATGTTACACACACACACACACACACACAGAATAAGAATGTATCTTATTAGATTTTTTTTAGATCTTATTAGATCTTATTAGATTTAAATATTTATAATATTCTACATATTCCTTCAATTTTTCTCTTTCATGTTTCGTTCGTTTATGACACTTACTTGGGACAATACATCATTGATAATGACGACAAGTAGCCACTGCTAAAGCCCATAGTAACAGCGATGGCTAAGTAAATCCAATCGTTGTGGATATATACGGGTAGTATTCTCTCCGTGTTCGTCGGTTGATAGTTGCACAACAGGAACAATGGTATGTAAGCGAGTCGCAGCATCACGGGGATCACCAGGTACTTCTTACTGGGCTGTACAGAAGTAAAATACGTTGTATAGCATGCACATGTATATATAATGTATATAGATAAAATGATATACAAATATAAAATTAGAGTCCACATACCCACTGAATAAGCGACGCGACAGAACTACCGAGCATGGCAGTGATGTTGAACGTCAAAAAGCACATGACGCTGCTATAGTAGTTGGATGGCACCACAAAGTTCTCGTCCATGGACCGAATGTCGGACTGAACGGAAGGGAAGAGAGTCAGAGTGACGAAGAAGATGAGGAACGTGTTGAAGCATTGCGGGAAACACGCCTTGAACACCTTCCAATAAGGTGGCCTTTGCGTCGTGCCCCTGGTACTGTTCTCCAATTGTCTCTTATTCGCTTCCTTCTGATGGATCATCTCATGGTACCGATAAAATCTCTGCGGAAATAAACGTTAATTATCGACTTATGGTACATTAAGAAGGGAACACGATAGATAATCTTACATTGATTGGAAGGGCAAAATAAGTATCGAAGCAAGCCAGAAGAATGAACAAGGCTGTGATGAAGTAATATATGGCGGCGGTGCGTGCATTCGGCGCCATTATCTGCGCGAGGAAATTTATTATGGCTGTGAATGTTCCGCTTATATTCTGAAAAATAAAATATATATATGTGAATAAATAAATCAACATGTATACAAATATTTATTATATAGTAAATAAATAAATAAATAAATAAATATATATATATATATATAGGCTGCGAACAATCAAGTTAATATAATGATAAAAATTAATAAAAAGCGAAAATAATAATGTAAATGGATATATAAATGATATATAATGGATAATAATGGATAATAAATGGATATATAAATGACTAAATAACATTGGGAGAAACTTGAAGTAACGAACGTTTTCACATACTTTGGCGCCAGGTTCTTATATTATTTTAATTCAACAACGATATATTCAATCACCGTTGGTACTCACCGATCCCAAGATAACAGCGCCTGTGTACTTGCTCGGCAACTTCGCCGCCATTCCAAACACCGAATTCTGGTAAATGCCATTAGCAGCTAAAAGCAACACAAACGATGCGTGAATTTCTCACAAAAATTTTCCTGACGCTACGGTATTCAAAACATATGAACATAAACTCACTGTTTAATACAACAACGGATATCATAGTGACCCAGAAAAATACTCCGGGCCAGCCAGAACTGTCAGTCATCGCCAGTATGACGGTAAACACAAATATTAGGACTAGGACAAAGATGCTCCATACTATACGTGTCGTCAGGTTGCCTCTGATAAGTTAATGTCATTAGCTGAGCTGAGTCGTTATTATCTCAACGACGCTATTCTAGCATAAAAGCCAGTAAAATGTCGAGTATAACTCGATCCGCCATTACTCGGTGGAAAATTTAAATGCAATTAAAGCAATTATCTTTTAAGATACGTACCCGAATTGTAGAAACACGTTCAGCCAATTGAATAGTAAATTCGGTACCTGCGCGGCAAATCCCAGATACGCGAGGAAATTTGTCGCGTAGTTTGTGTCCACGCCGGTGTATTCCTTGGACAATTTGTAACTGACAAAATACTGTAAGAATAAGCAGAAATTATGATAACTGCTAACCAGGAGGTCACCTGGAGGTGATTGAAAATATAAGAGTTGCATCTCGAATCGACACAACTTCTCGCTTACCTCTTTAGCCGTTATAAACATATTCCATGGCATCAAGGCACCGATTCCGTGAAGTACCAATATGCAAAATACTAAGTTTAATCTGAAAAGAATCGAATACGTAGTGAGATATAGTGTGGTAAAGGCAAAATACACGATACATAAGGCGCATCATGAAAATAAACTCGATATTTATTGTAAACACACGCTGTTAATATATATTTAGATCTACATTGCTGTAATCCTCGGGGAAAAATCTTAAAAAAAAAATGCACTTATTGAGACAAGTCTAAAATTACTATTTGAAAGAGATAGCAGTTGCGGGAAAAAATAATACCTAAAATTTGGAAAAGGCAAGTCCACTATTGAGTTACATAAATAAATAAATATACAGATTTATTTATTTGTTTCAATAAGGGACCTGCTGCTTTCAAATTCCAAATATCAAATTTTATTGTATTATTTGAGTAAAAGTTTCAAACTTCAGATTTCTCTGTTTCTCTCATGAGAAATGAGGACCTCGCCCTTACAACGTCGTACAACACTTCATCACTTCATCACATTGCCACGAATTAAAATCAGCGAGATATTTCAGATGATAGTTGACTTTTGATTAAAACGTAGCTTTACCTATCTCTAGGAGGATTCAATTCGAGATCCGCTTGATCCATCGTGACACCCTTGAAGTTCAGCTCGTCGTCTGGTCTACCCGTGCCTTCCCATCCCGGCGAGAGACGCACAGGTTCGCAACCTGAAACAAAAATTTACCTGTCAATCTCGAAAACCTTGGTTCGACGTCGCGCATCGCGTGTCTTCTCTTCGCGAGCAGCGATAGGCCTGTACTTTGTACCCGTGAGCATTCGTTATTTTCAGTGTTTCCCGCGTTATCGTTACATCGGTTAATACGGCTCTCGCATGCGATGTAAAAGGAAGAGAAAGAGAGAGAGAGAGAGAGACCAGGAAAATTTTCGGCACCCCATTCATCGAAATGGAGTGCGCTAATTTTACAATGCAATATCGTACTGCATTCCGGTGATAAACTAAAATCAATCGATCTATTCTGGGAACATGACATGTATGTGTAAGTGCACCCTTTTAACGGCACAATCTACACAGGAAGATGAGGACAAATGCGATTAAAAAATTACGTGCGTGTACAGTGAATGAGTGAAAGAGAGAGGGAGAGAGAGAGAGAAGAGAGAGGGAGAGAAAGAGAGAGAGAGAGAGAGAGAGGGAGAAAGTGAGAGAGAGAGAGAGAGAGAGAGAGAGAGAGAGAGAGAGAGAGAGGGGGAGAAAGTGAGAGGGAGAGAGAGAGAGAGGGAGAGAGAGAGAGAGAGAGAGAGAGAGAGAGAGAGAGAGAGAGAGAGAGAGAGAGAGAGGGAGGGAGGGAGGGGAAGAGAGAGAGAATACATGAAAGTATGAAAGTAGAGAATATATGAGAGTATGAAAGTACTGCTTCACGTAACGGAATTAACTGTAATTATCAGCGAACAAAGAGTCTCTAAAAGTATTACATGTCGGACTAACACAACCTGCGGAGAAAAAAGAATTCATTACTTTAAAAAAGTTGAAGTGATATACATTTGATTTGATATATGTTCAGTCAGTTAACATGTTGATTCAGTCAATCGATTAAAAATCTCGAGGAAAGAATCTTAACTAAAAATCCAATCACGATGCGTCGAGCAGAGGCAAGATGGTTCTCGCGGTTGTTCGTTTCGCTCTATCTTCTTTAAGTAAAATTGTATCTCGTCGGGGGAAAATTTTCAGTGCGAAGGGGGGTGACAAGTAACGCGTTAACTTAAGTGGGATTTATAAAAAGAAATCCGCATCGCCGTTCGCTCGTAAATTATTATCGCGTCTGTCACTGGCTGAGGATGTGCACATCGTTGATCTAGCTTCGTGTTGCAACGTCTGACTCTATCAGCAACCCTGAGGAGTCAGTCGCTCTCGCATTTATGCCAGACCAGCATGTTGTGCCGGTAAAATGAGATCTTTACGCATGGAAGAATGTGGTTCCCTTTGATATTTAGCCGTGTTGAAATATGTACGCTGTAAAAATCGGGATCTCCTAATGTCACATGAGCAGCGTTAAAAATTTATTCCGCACGTAATCACCGCGCGCGGCGAATAATTGATGCACGAAGAGCCGAGCCGGTACGATTCGACAGAGGCAGACTGTAAGCACGACATCGGTAACGAGTCGCGAGTGGTATGTAGTTGCATGCTTGCAGATTATTTTTGTACCATCGTACAATGAGAATTCGAGTCATTGATTCGTTCACCGAGAGGGACATGCTCGTGTAATAATATATAACACAAGTAATACAATAATAAAATAAATACCAAAATAAAATAAGTGGTGTAATGATATATAAGTAGTGTGATAATAAGACAATTAAATTAGACGAAATAAATAGCGATATAATATATTTGTTATACAATTTTAGATCGTGTGTTTCAAATTTTTAAATATTATAATATAAAGGATAAATATATAAAAAAATGGATAAATAGGGATCTTTTGGAAACGAAAAATTGTGAAGATTAATCACATCAAACTGAGAAGAAAAATCAAGTAGCATTTTGCAAAAATCGCGATAGTTGTTGAGTTATCAATGATTAAAGATGATCACATCAGCTACAGAGGCTCTTTTAATTGATAACTTGAAAATTTGCCTACTTATTTGCAAAATTCAGAATGACATAATCTAGAATTATATGACAGGTTCAAAAGTCAAGGTTCAATGTTCAATATATTCATATCTATCGCTAGACATAATCGTCATATTATTGTAAATTAGGTCATTCTGAACAAAAAAATCCTCCATCACTTTGCAAATAAGTACGCGATATAATAAATTTCCAAGTTATCAATTAAAAGAGTCTCTGGATGTGGTCATTTTCAATCATTAATAGCTTAATAACTATTGCGATTTTTGCAAAATGGCATATGATTTTTCTTCTTTGATCTGATCAATCTTCATAATTTTTCGTTTCCAAAAGAGAATATGTATGCGTATATATACATATGTATATACATCATTCAATGAGATGTTACATTTCTTATTTATTATGCAACCGTTTCGTTATACAATTGACACCAGACAGTCCCCGGGATTTGTCGAGAAAGTTGAACTTCGCGTTTACGAGAGGCACGAGATTTTATGATTCCCTATGACGCAAGCGTTTTTTAACGACGCAAGTTCGAACCGGCTTCTCTGCGCGTGATATTTTACGGAGCTCTCAACTGAAAGTTACAAATCGAAGTGTCCTGCCGCACACACACATTTCTAATGTTTATCCGATGCGCACGCGTGTGCACTTGAGACATCTACTCGATGCACTCGAAATATGAGAACCATGCTTGAATTATTATCGGTCTTCAGGCCTCCAGGCTAATAGAATGAAGATAATACGTATAAATAACACTGGAAAGAAATCTCGAGATTTATTGTTGGGGAATGTCCGCCGCTGGTTATCGTGTTATCTACACATTTTGAAGCGGCTACTGGCAGAACCTTCCCTCTCCTCGTCGCGCGTTATCAGTCGGAAAATTATTTTTATGCTGTCAAAGCATTCATGTTGCTCGCGTTTGCATCGGATCGCGGAGCGCGCGTCTCATCATCACACGAACAATAACGCGCGTCTTGAATGATCTCGAATGTTCTCTCGGGTCCTTGCACAATCAGATTTTGTAAGGAACCACCTGCCTTATCTCGACGTCGTTAATGATAAGGGGAGCGAGAGCGAGATATGGATTATTATGTACGCACGTATCACACGCAAGTTATAAATAATTAGTTACAGGCAAACTTAACGGCCCGTTAACGTCGGACTGCGATTATTTGGCGAGCTCACAGCATGAGCCGTTGACAAAACGGGCGATTCTAGCGAACTACAAACCGATGCTGCAGCCACAAATATTTAACCGCCAGTGTCAAGGATACTACAGGCTCTACTCCGAAGGCTGAAACGTTCAGTTGCAAACTGGTTTAGGTATAAGCATGCGAAGCGGAGGGGAGTACAATAAAAGAATTGAAAAACAGGCGATTGAAGGAGACGGAAAAAGAGAAGGCCACGTTGGGATTTTACAGTTAACCCGACGATGCAATCAGTTTTTCAACATTGTCGCGGGAATTGCAAGATCAAAATAATCTATCCCGGGAAATTACAGCGCAAAATTGCACAGACGATTTGATATTTCATTCTATAAGATACAAGTATCAGATAAGCGTATATCTTTCCGTAAAAGTCTCATCAAGACGAAGCGGAAGAACTCGAGATTAAATAATTACCAGACGAAGGAATCGATTTGAATTCAATTAGTAGAGAATCACCGAAGATTTAACAGAAAATTCCCGACGATTCGAAAGCTTCAGCTAACATCGAGAACAATTTCCCTCAGAAAAACAAAATAGGACACGGATGAAGGACTCGAGCCCGAATACAAAGCGATGGCTGCTGCGCCCCGAAAGGGGAAGACGTCCATAAAAGAAGACGATACAGAAGAGGAGAAGAAGAATGAAGGGAGGGATGAGGAAGTCGCGACTCACCGATGAACGCGAGGAGGTGGGAGGAGTGCACGGAGGAGGAAGAGAGGAGACGGACGGAGCGAGCGACTGCAGAAAGAAACGAAAGCCTGCGGTATATATTCCGCAGTCAGCATTACCTTTCACGGGTACGATGCGAGTCCCGTTGGAGTCCTTCAGCAGGGTCTGCTCCTCCGGCCCCGCGCCGAACTCCTTCTTCGTGTAACTGCCGGCCATGTTTCCGCGCGAGAGACTTCACGGCAAAAAGCCACCCTGCGGAAAGCGAGAAATTCAAATCGCCGCAACTTCCGTCGACGAAGAAACGTCGTCGGAAACGCGAGAGAGAGAGAGGAGAGAGAGAGAGAGAGAGAGAGAGAGAGAGAGGAGAGAGAGAGAGAGAGAGGGAGGAGAGAGAGAGAGAGAGAGGGAGGAGAGAGAGAGAGAGAGAGAGACGAGGCGGGGGTAATCTTACGCGAGACATCGCACTTTTCACAACTTCGTCATATTACCCGCCGACGAAGAAACTTCCGCAACTATCTGGCTTCAACGGTTACCGGTGTCCAATAAGGAACCCTGTCGCTCGACTATCCTGCACCGATGCGAGCTGAAGACTGCGGTCCACGCGGGGGAACAATGCGAGCGACTCGTTATCGCGGAGCGGTTATCGTATTATTCAGCGGGAGGCTGTCGCCGGACACTTGGTCATTACGTCATTACCCTCTCGAGAGAGGGCAATTTCACGTGCACGGCAGCAGCCTTCTGGTGCGCACCGGTGCGAGACAGACCGAGGTAGGACGCGCTCCAGCGCGGGACCGCGGTGGACGCTGGTCGCGGTGCGTACCGGCTTTTACACAATCCTAGCTCGGAGCGTGTTTCGTGCTTCGTGCTTCGTGCTGGAACACTCGGGCGACTCTGACAGCGCGGCGACGGGTCCTCAGCGCATCTCCGGCACGACGTCGTCGTCGTCGTCGTCGTCGTCGTCGTCGTCGTCGACGGAGCTCACACGCGTCGCTCGGTCTTACCACTGGCCGTGCTTCTCCTTCGCGATCTTCTCCGCGATCTCACCTGCAAAACGTGACGGCCGTGACGACGTGCGTTAGTCTCCGGGGCTCGGATGTCGAGCGGGCCGCGGATGAGCCCACGTGGAACGTGGCGGCGGTTTGGGCGGTACTTTAGTTATCTCTCGCACGAGTATCGCGTGACAAAAATGTCCGGAATGCGGCGTCGTGCGAGAGCGACGGAGATAACCAGATCGCCCCCGTCCCTCGGCTACGCTCCCGATTCTCGCTCGAGCGAGATAATGATCGGGGGCGGTCATCGCGGATACACCCTCGCGCCGGCCCGACGTACGAAACACGCGCACGATCACGTTGAGTTTGGAGCATGACGGGATCGAGGTCTTCTCTCACGAGTTGCGAGCTACGTACGGAAACCTGCTGGAGACGCGGACGGCCGAAGGAGGAGACTCACACTGGAGCTAAGTTTCGTCGACGACGGATGCGCGCCTCGGCCGATTGCTACGCCTATTATTGGTGCGACGGAGCGTGACGGACGTTAAATGGACATCGCAGGCTCGCACGCGGCCGTCGATGCGACGAGAGAGAGAGAGAGAGAGAGAGAGCGACAGACGCGAAAATCACGTGCCAACGTCGTAATGCCGTCCGCGCGTTCCCGGAGTGCACCACGTTGTCGTCGTCGTCGTCGTCGTCGTCTTTGTAGCGACGTTATTCTCACGCGGCGAGGAGACAGATAGAGACAGGTGGTGAGAGAGGAGATCAGACAAAGAGCGCAGCAGTTGGTTAACGACGTCGAGAGCCGCGATCGTCAGAGGACGAGATCGCTCGAGATATGACGAGGCGAACTGCGCGACGACGACGACGAGGAGGCGGCGGCGGCGGCATGCGAGCCGTACCATGTTACCCGTTTCGCTTAGGTTAGGTCTGGGGGTTGAGAGTTCATCGAGATACGCCTTCTCCTTCTCCTTCTCCTCCTGCCTCCGTCTTTTCCTCCTCTCGTGGCAGCTGCGCGCGCGAAACGAACAGCGCCGAAAAGTGACGAAAGCGCGCCGATGAATGAAACGATATCGTGAGCTGCGTCCGCCTGCGTCACACTACCAGAGATACATAACACGTACTATGTGTCATCCTTTTGTAGCACCCTCCACACGCGAGTCACACGCGGCCACTTTTTCCCTCCATAAAGGTGCTCTTACATGATAGCGGCAAGCGTCGAAAGGTGTGCGCATAGCGATGCCTGCTAATTTGAAGCTAAATCGCTGGATCAAAGTGTACAGAAAACACTGTAAAATGTGTTGTATAATCTTAATGATGCTTCTAATGAGGTACGTACTATCATTCCCAAAGTAGAGATCAATTTTTGTGAAACCTCAATTTCTGCTCGTACTGCTTATATAAAAGAATATTGCTTATTTAACATATTTTCCGCTAATACAATTCTCATATATATTCTCAATTCAATATATATATATATCATCACACCTTCTCTTTTTTGTTATATAAGTAACAACAATAACGATCTAAAAAAGGGTCTACAGAGACCTCTCGTGGAAACACACGGTATAAAATAAGACATTCCCCTTTTTACTAAAATACAGGAAAAATCACCTCATAATTATCATACTTGTAATCAAGAAAATCGTCCGCGAGAGGCGTACAAAGCAAAGATTTTCTTTCTTTTAAAACTGGAAATAAAAACTACTTAATTTACTAGAGTGTTACTCTAGTAAATTAATGCAAGGCAAGAGTATACAAGCTTTTGCATAACGCATAGTACATAATGCATAAGAGAATAAACTAATTAGTTTTCTCCATTTCCCTTCTCAGGATAGAAATGAAGAACTCTGATTGGTTGATTCTCTTATGCGTTATGCAGAAGTCCGTGCTCTGGCCCTTACACTTGGAGTGCAGCATAAGAGTATATTATATTATTTATTATAAAGTTTGGAAAGACTAATTGCAAAATTTTTGTACGGACTTTAGGAATGATGCAAAGAAGATGTCAAAAATTTTTGCTCAGAGAGCTACATCTGCGCAAGGAAAAATATGAAAAATTGCAGATATTATGGAAAGTGCAGCCCACTTATACTTGACCCAAACACTGATGAGGTAATGCTGAAGACTGTCAACCCTGAATAAATTTTCATAGTACCAAACGAGCCTCGAGGGGCCTGGAGATAACTCAAAAATTACGACAGTACCGACTATTTCAGCTTCACCAAAGACATTGGCCGCGTTCAATAGAACACAGTGATCAGAGAGCGCTTAGTGATTATTGTCTGTGATTGGAGTATTCTTTTAGATTCTTCATAGACCCAGAAGTATTTACCAATCAGGAGCGAGATTCGGTGGAAAATCTAGTAATGTTGTCCAACTGTTGAGTCTACTGAACGCGGCCAATGACTGCATTCAGCAGACTCAACAGTTGGACAACATTACTACATTTTCCACTGAATCTCGCTCCTGATTAGTAAATACTTCTGGGTCTATGAAGAATCTAAAAGAATACTCCAATCACAGACAATAATCACTAAGCACTCTCTGATCACTTTGTTCTACTGAACGCGGCCATTGACGAGATAACTGCAAAGTATACATGTAATACCAGAGAGGAACGTGAGAGCGGCCAACACGGTGTTTTCGACGACACCGACTTTACGCACTGGGAAAGGGCGCCATCTGCATCCCTTTTGAGAGAGAAACTACGATGCTACATCCACTTTCAGGTTTCGGCGGTAAAACCTGTATGTGGTGGCAGTCCGTGCTACATCCATTTTTAGGCGGTTTATGTCCGTGCTACAACTATAATAGCGTACTTGACAAGCACGGTCTAGCACATTGTTACGCGTTTATAACATGAATTAACATGTTAACATGTGCAAAAAAAAAAGAATTGACATTGTGTATAATTAATATCATAAAGATCATACGAAGTGTCCGGTAATTAGCTGCCAACCCGAAGTGTGAGGATAGATTGGGTTAAGACAAACATAAAAATCCCATCCATTTTGCGAGATTCACAATAATTATCGAGTTATTGATGACAGAAATCTGAGGAGTAAAAGCACGCCGACATAGATGATTCGAAAAGCGTTGCAGCTGCTCGGAGCAGCGATCATAAATCTTTTCCCTAGCATGAACTAATAAAAAGTGAAAGACTTCTGTGAATCAGTGAAAAATGAAAAATTTTATAGGAATTTGTGAAAATTGAAACATTTCACACAATAATTCAGTCGTTCAACATGGCAGTTGCGCGTTCTGGATAATTCAATGAATACTAAAAAAATCAAAATGATCAAAATAATAATGTCCGTGTAGTCCGAAGGATAATTACGTGACACGCAAAACCCGTTTGATATAACATCGAAAGAAAATGTTTCAAAATATGTATATACAGATAATATAAACCTTATGCACCGACGAGATATACTATAAAGACTGATGGCCTTACGGGAATCAGCGTAACAGAGAAATTTCCCTGGTGAAGTACCCGGGCGAAAGAGACCGTCTCGCATTTAGCGCAGTAAAATTTAATGGAAACTAGTACTTTTCAATCCTTTTCTTCGAATCAAAAAGATTCAGAATTCAGACATATTCAAAATGTTAATACTTTTTAATACGTTTCAATTCGACATTTTATACAGGGAAGCAGGACGAAGGGAATGGGATGCGGGCAACGACACATCATGCGTCTCCAGACGTGTCAAATCGTTTATTATAGAGGAGTCTTTGATACGGCAACATGTATTCGAATATTTAATCGTCCCATGGACTACTTATATATAATAAAAGAAAAATTAACGCGGGTAAATGAACGATTCGTATCAATATTTCCTTTTCTTATAGAGCAATGAAAGAGTAAATCAGTATCGAAAATCGAATACCGATTAATACCATAAATCAGTGTCAGAAAATTGTTCAATAACAATTTGTTCTCATTTTTCAGGTAGTTACCGCTGTAATTTACACAACAAATTAACTCGGTTAAACGAACGATTCGTACCAATTTTTCTTCTCTTATAAAGAAATGAGAGAATAAATCAGTACCGAAAATTAGGTATTGATCGGTCGAAGACCGATCAATACCTAATTTATTCATCAAATTAACGCGGATTAATGAACGATTCGTATTAATTTTCTGTTTTCTTATAGAGAAATGAAAGACTAAATCAGTACCGAAAATCGAATATCGATTAATACTATAAATCAGTGTCAAAAAATTGTCCAAGTCTAATGACAATTTGTTCTCATTTTTCAGGTACATACCCCTCTAATCTTATTCAACAAATTAACTCAGATAAACGAACGATTCGTATCAATTTTTCTCTTCTTATAGAGAAATGAAAGAGTAAATCAGTACCGAAATCGAAGACCGATCAATACCTAACTTATTCATCAAATTAACTCGGATAAACGAACGATTCGTATCAATTTTTCTCTTCTTATAGAAAAATGAAAGAGTAAATCAGTACCGAAAATCGAATATCGATCAATACCGTAAATCAACGTCAGAAAATTGTCCACGTGCAATTACAATTTGTTCTTATTTTTTAGGTACTTATCCCTCTAATTTACTCAACAAATGACTTGATAAACGAATGATAAACGAATGATTCGTATCAATTTTTCTTCTCTTATAAAGAAATGAAAGAATAAATCAGTACCAAAAATTGAAGACCGATCAATATTTAATTTATTTATTAAATTAACGCGGATTCGTATGAATTATTTTTTTCTTATAGAGAAATGAAAGAGTAAGTCAGTACCGAAAATCGAATATCGATTAATACCGTAAATCAGTTTCAGAAAATTGTCCAAGTACAATGAGAATTTGTTCTCATTTCTCAGGTATTTATCCCTCTAATTTACTCAACAAATTAACTCGAATAAACGAATGATTTGTATCAATTTTTCTTGTTTTATAAAGAAATGAGAGAATAAATCAATACCGAAAATTGAAGATCGATCAATATTTAATTTATTCATCAAATTAACGCGGATAAATGAACGAGTCGTATCAATTTTTTTTCTTGTAGAGAAATGAAAGAGTAAATCAGTACCGAAAATCGAATATTGATCAATACCAGAAATCAGTGTCAGAGAGTTGTCCAAATGCAATGACAATTCGTTCTCATTTTTCAGGTACTTACCCCTCTAATTTATTCAACAAATTAACTCGGATATATAAACGAACGATTCGTATTAATTTTTTCTTCTCTTATAGAAAAATGAGAAAGTAAATCAGTATCGGAAATCGAGTATCGATTAATATCGTATATCGTAAATCAAAATTTATATTACTGTTTAATTACATCGTCGCAAAAGATTTGACGTTTTCTCTATTTTATTCCTAACTTGAAGAAAATTTGGTACTCATCTCTATTTGACAAAAGTACGTCGGACTTTCTGTAACTAATATAAAAAATTTTTTTTCATTCTTATTTTTTCTACGTCTAATATTTTAATACCGAATCTGTCGAAATGAACCGGTCTGCAGAAATCCTGGCAAGACGTCGTGACAGATCTCGTGTATGTCATGTCAATAGAAACAGTTTGAATTCGGCGTAATATGATTCTTGGAACAGACGTAAATAAGTATTGTGAAGTTTGAAGCGAGTCTCTCACAGGCATACTTTGAAAACACGAGTTGTTTTCATTTTCAGCTAACACTGATTTGCAAGGTAGAGGGGGTAACCGTGCCTTCCCGATTGTTTGGTTTCGTACGTTTATATATGACTCCGTGATTGCGGAAAGGACATTGCGCCTCGGGCCGACGAACGACGCGCATACCGCGACGTAGAGTAGTACGAGTGTCGGTTAATACGCGTTTCTTTGTCCGAATCTTACTTACGCGAGTGTTAGAGCTAGAGTCAGTGTCGTCGCCA